GGGACCTTCCAAGCTCAGTCCTCCGTGGTCAGCTACAGAAAAGACACATAAATGCAATTTCTCCGCTGCTTCGAGTAACACGTTATCAGTCATACCGGCAGGATCTGCCCCGCTGCCAGGCAGCAGTTACATTTCAGGCATTGACGCAACCGGCACGGTCAGTCAACAGTATGAAGTCAGCCCGCATGGGTCAGTGGAGTAGAGATAGGGTTTCAAGGGCGGTCATGTTTCAGGCCGAGCTTGCAGCTGCCCTGCCTAACATGCCATTCCCATTGGCACCATTCACTTAAAGACACACCAGTCACGTCTCCTACTAATGGTGCGCTGGAGTAACGCTGTCTACTGGGCGAGGCTGAAGCAATGCTTTACGGTAACCTTCAAGAATTCATCAGGGTCTTGGACAGTACAATCTGTCTCTACAATGACTAGTCCACGTGCAACACGGAGCGGTACGACTCCTGAGCAGCAAAGGCTCGGCCATCCTGACGGGTTGCCATGTGGGAAGGAAACACAACAAATTTTAAGCTCTGCACAGGGGACGAGTACGATCCATTCAGAAAGATGCTTTCTGTTAAGAGTGAAGTGAAATAGGGAACCTTGACTCCACTGGTCCCTTATTTAAGTGAAGAAATAAATCCTGCCGACTGAAGCAGAACAAGGCTCAGCTGCAAGAGCTATGGGGAAATGAAGAACTTAATTCCTCTTTACCTTCTCTGCAAAGAGAAAAGGATCTTACAGCCAAAGCATTGCAATAAAAATCTTGGGAGCCAAATTCTGTTTTCATACCATTGCCATGTACTTCCTAGGTGATCCTAACAACTTGCCTACCTTTAGGCCTCTGCAAAAAAATCAGTATTATAAGGGGCCCTCTTTCCAAGATAGGCTGACATTTGATATAATGGGGAGTTGGGATATCAAGATTTGGAATGCTTACGAGAAAGATACTTTATGTAAGATCTGAGACACAAAACTGAACGGCTATGGATAGCAATGTGTAGAACTCCATCAGAGGAAGCATTCCGAGAAGCAACACTGCAATTGCTCCCACCTTCCCATACTACCAAAAACTTTTGCGGCAACGTGAAAGAAAACAACAAACAAACAAAAATTATTAACATCACTCCTCAGGTGAAGTCCTGAGCTGGAAAATACTCCGGAACGCAATGTTAACAGCTCGTTAGGACAAAGAAGGTGCTTCCTCTGGCGCCTTGCAGGACGTGGACAGTGGCGTTGCAGTCGCCCCGGAGGCGCGTACCGGGGTCGCCGTACTGCCAGGGCCCGCGCCGCAGGCGAGGATGGCCCGTTGTGGCTTCCCTGCGGAAGGCAGGCAGGGAGCTTTAGATCCACCGCAGCCACAGCACTAAGCTCTTGTTAGAAACTATACAGCTTCTCTGCTGGGGCTGAACGTGACGTGGTAGAGAGAATGAGAGAGCCTTTTAAAAAGTAGATCTCTCAGCACACGTTAGAGATTAATTTAGGTGCTTTCAGGGTCAGTTTTTTAAAACAAAGATTTGTAAAATGGTCGAACCACCAAGGCTCAAATCTTCCTTTCTCCCTTGAGAGTACCATGGCCATACAGACCGTCTTCACAGCACTTTCAGTTTTCCACCCAGCAAGAGCTCAAAAAACTTTCTTCATTTTCCAAGGAGAAATGTTATTTTCATACCTTGCCTTAAATTAGAGTACACGTCTTCCTTCCAAGGATGCTGGGGTTCATCCAAGATGAGTGTTCAAAAGCCAATACTGATTCAAGGGGAAAGCCACACAAGTATTAAAAGGGAGATACCAAGGCCCAAACCAATCTGGAATCAAGAGACCAAGTGCACAGAAAACACCCGAGCAGCATCAAAACTCTTCCCTGGAAGGTGGCACATAGGCACTACAACAAAATGAGACACATCAAGCTTTTCAGCACTGAAATTGGCAGCGTGTAAACGGGTCCTCCGCAGATTTCCCCACTCGTAATTAAATCAACCAACAGCGCTTAATATTCAGCCCCATGTGATGATGCAATCCAGGTGCAGCCTGCACTATGTTTGGCAAATAAATCCCCTGTCCTTGAGAGCAGCACCATGCTGAAAGATTATCAGCCACGGATCTCACAGCAGCTACACGACTGGCTATTCTGCCCATCCTCAGGAAGTCTGACAGGTTCACTACTGATCCCACAAGCTGAAAACCAGTCCAGTCAACTGTGCTGAGGACACTGAGACCTCGATGGTTTAAAGTCAACGAGGGCATAATCAGACATCTCTTTTTTGATTATATAGTGCATCACTGACACTAGTCTGCAAAATTATTACTTACATACTAATAAACCCCATAGCTCCACAATATCCATTTGGTGCTAGAAGTTACATCCAATTTGCAACCATCAGGAGAGGTCTAAAGCCTGCTCCAGGCAAGCTGATGGTGAATCACAAAGAGCAAAAGATGGCATGTACTGTAGTTAGTTGTACCACCATATAGTTTAGTCAAGTTTCCAGCTACCGCCACGTTTCATGCCCTTGCAGCTACACTGAACGCCCTGTCCAGGGCAGTGTCTGTCACCAGCTCCACCGGCAAGTAGTAACACAGAGCCACCAACCCCCAAATCAAGCCTGGAATCCACTCCACAGGAATCCTGTAGTAACACATGAAGCCTTCCGGCAGGAAATGTGATTTGACTACAAGGTTTTTCCGTTGTTGCTTTAAGTATACAGCTGTCTGGGATCCTTTCTGTGCCTGTTGCATGCAAGTATCACAGCACCCCCACTCATCACCTTCCTTCCAAGAACTTTCTAGAATATCTACTGTGCTTTTGTCTTCATGCAGGCCTAGATGCCCCATTTCTGAAGCTTCTAGAATTTGTGTAGAACTGTATGGGGACTCATTTTTTTATTTTCTTGACCTGGTTTAAATAGCATTCCGTTCGTACTTGACCACTGCCATCTGCTGCCCTGCTCTTAACTCTGTGGCACCCAGACAGTTTCATAGTTTCAGTTCCAGTTTCACCCAGACTGGACATGCTACCACAAAGCTGGTGCCCATCCACCTTTTTAACATTCTCTTCAGCTGAAGCCCATTCATTCAACAATAAACTACCTTACTCAAGTTTCTTACCTCAAGACAACAATAAACACCAAGAGGAGCAGCAGGTCCAGGTCCCCAGCCAGCTACAGCGCCACAGAAGGCTTTGACTGCTTTTTGCCAGACCCACACCTGTGTCCCTTCTCTTAGGCAGGAAGCCAACGTGGGCACAACTCTTACCTCGAGGCAGGAGAGCAGACAAGCAGCGTAGAGCTAAGCCTAGCAGCCCGGCTCGTCCCCTGCAAGCATTTGAGAGGCCGTTTCCTCAGACTCCAGGACCTTTGCAAAACGTTCCCACGAGCAGAGTCTGAACTCCCCTCACACAACTTGTGAGTCTCAGCAGACAGCACCCAACGTTGCATCCAAAACGTTCGCAGCCTATTCACTGCCAGCTCAGAACACGGAGGGTCCATCCGGCAGAGAAATGATCATTGCTGCATCCACCCCTCCAACGGGATCAAAGCCCAGAGAACAATCAAGACAAAGCACACATTTTGTACCTTCAATTTCTGAAAACTCAGCAGGAGAAGCAGAAATCAGTGATGCCATCTTAAGCAAAGTCAGCTCACCAAAGAACATTAGGGTTGCACAGGGACACAGTATGAAACCAAGAGTCCTCTACGTGTAACAAACTGCACTTATTTTGCTCTAGATTGTACAAAGGAATCACCTTCCCACTGTCATGTCACGGATCAGAAAAAGCCAGCAAATAAACCCCCATGCATGCCTGGCACAAGACCACCACCACAAAAACTGGGCATAAAAAAGGAAAAAGCTTTTCTTTCAGGCAAGTGACCTGTACACACATCTTCAGCCCTCTGCTCCCATTCCCTTGAAGAACTACGGGCTCAAGAATTTGAGTCTGATACTGGAAGTACTTAATTCTTCATTATAAAGAAATAAGTTTGAATCCTGTGGTAAAGCTGTTAGAATTCTTCACTTTTTCTAAATAGGGGAAAGCAAATCCAGTTCTGGCTCGAAGGAAAGTTCATTTCATAAGGCTGTAGTCATCTTTGTACAAAAATCATATCATGTACCGTCACAAACAGCACTACCAGCTTCAGCATGACTTTGCTGCAAGCAGTAGCAGGGCAGTGTCACTAGCACAGTTTCTCAGTTTGCATCAGAGGGAAAACCCACCGGATGCCCATCTGTTCAACCACACCACCAGGCTGTTCTCATCTCAATGAGTAAGCAGGCTTTCCTCATTCTCTCCATTCCTATAGCACAGTGTTTTGAATGAGGAGGGCATTGTCACTTCCTTATTTAAAAGAAACAGAAGTCAGAAACACTGGTCATTTTCAGACTTTTATTAAGAGCAAAAAAAATATATCTTCTATAGCCGCGGTCAAGAGCTAACAGTGGAAAAGCCACAGACGTGATGCACAGTCTAATATTAGATACTCTTCATAAATAAGATTCTTTGTTTTCTATTTGTTCGTTGAAGTAACTTGCAGAAATAATTAATTTTGTAGCTTTCTAGAACACAGTCACACCACAGACATCATCTGGAAGAGAGGAAAGCCAGCATCACAAAACATGGATTTCCCCTGGATATTGAGGGACAGTTCAATAAGCAACAAAAAACACCCCAGCAACATCCCACAAAAACCAACCCCCACGCTGCCCTACCATTAGAAATCTAAGCTGAAGTTCGGATCTACTGGAAGACAACAGAGGCAGAATCATACTCCACTGGTGAAGAGCTGCTCACAGAGGCTGCACGCTGCCAGAGGGCTCCACCAGGCTCACAAGGACAGCAGTACTTACCCTAGCGTCAGTGAGGGTTACTTTGCCTTCCCCCTCATAAGGAAGAGACCTCTGCATCATGAACAGTGCCTTCCAGTGGCACCAACCGAGATGCCAGGGCCCTTCAGAGTCAGAGGTCCTGAAGGCTATACTCACCACTTTCACAGTCCTGCTCATCTCACTCATATCTTGAAGCCCAGAGCTCTCATACACTCCAGGTGAGCTTCAATTAGGCGCCCACAATTTTCTTCCCCCTTCTCAATGATGCTGCAAAATAAAAAGATTTCCAAGGTTCAACAACAAAAATGTTCGCTTACTGTTAGTCAAAGCCACAGAACCGACAAGCTGTTGGGGACAACCAAAAGTCCCTATTAGGCTCCAGAGACCTTTTTGCCCATCCTGTCCAGGGTAGCACTGTTTTGGGAATTATACTACCATCTCAAAATGGTGCCCAGGCCTGGAGTGGTGCACTTAAAACTCTGATGAGATGCATTAACAGTTTCCTATTAACAGGCCAGTGTCTGTTCTGGGCAAGTCTGGACAGGGATTTGTTACACAACACAAAGCTATCGCATCAGTTCGTCGAGCATGCTGATCTTGTCAGCAACTCGTTTCACATCACTCTGTATAGAAGCAACAAAATTTCTCTAGTAAGAGCCCAATACAGAACAGGCTGGCCAGTAAATGATGTTTCAGTCCAGCTTCAGTTGGTATTTACGGAACTTGAAGCAAAAACAACCTGTCCGGCTACTCTTGAAAAAAAAATTATTTACCACATATGGTAACATATGGCTTCCCGTCCCCTGAGGTGGGGATTCCACTGCTCGACACAGCGCGGGTCACAGGGCTGATCAACCCTCATCTGCTACGTTATGCTATTCTTCCTGCCAAAAGCAGAAACTACCAAACTGTGAATAACTCAAATATTTTATTTTCTTAATTTTTATTACAGTAAGTATGGGCAGGTGAGCTGGCCAAGCAGGGCAACTCCACCTGACCCAGGACTTGCATCCTATCACCCTTTTCTTAGAGGGCCCTTGACTCACCTTCACTCTACCAGGTAACCAGACACACACCCATAACTTTGGCAAAGATACAGTGTCCAGCATTGTGTCACCTACTGAATGACATCTGTACCACTTGTCAGGTAAAAAAAAAAAAGTCAAGTCTGGTCACCAGACTAAAGCAATTTACTGTCATAAACAAAAGAACTCTATTTTGGGTGTGCATTTCATGCTGTTTGATAAGCCCTACGCTCGTGACTAAGCCTGTAATTACAAACGCAGCTATACACATCACTGTCGAATTTTGCACCTCTGTGAGAAACGCCATCCTCTGAGACTAAAAACCGAAGCATTTTGTTTTACTTAAAAGAGAACAGTGTTTATAACCAGTTAAACAACAAAAACGTTACTGCCTGCTGGTACTTGCTGCTTCAGTCAGCCAACAGCAGCGAGGATTTGTAAGCAGCGTCAAAAGCTCATCTCCGAGACCCGTTTTAAACCAGGGCGATTAACTACTGATCTCTTTGCTTCTAATTTACCCTTCTGGGACAGCTTCTCCTCCTCCACACCCTCCCTCCGCCGTCTCCCGCGCCCCCCGGACGCTCCAGCACCCCCGGCCCGGGGTG